CGCGCACATGGCTGATGGGGTGTTCGATGTCCGCCGTGAGAGAGCACGGCTGACTATGGAGGGCTTGGTGCCTCCTCTTCACTGACCTTGGCCTGCTCTTCGCGCACCAATCTGGCCCATGATCGGGGAAAACTTAGAACCCTTGAGATCACGCCCCTCTTGGACACGAGCGAGTTGAGTAGCCGCTCCTTGGTGGCTCACTCGACTGCCACAGTCTCCAGTGAGCCCTCGACCCAACCCTTCCGAGTAGGATCCACACTTATGGCAAATCAGAATACTCGTTGGATGATCAAGGTGCTCATAATAAAATAAACCATGGCCTTTATTATCATGCACGAGGTTTGACAGCTGCTTGCAGTGGCCTGGGCATTCCTTGGCCGCCAGCACTGCTCTCTGTTTGGTTGACTTTGTCTGCACCCTAGACATAATGCGCCGATGATACTGCGCAATTAAAGCCCACGCATGAATCCTCCTAGGTACCCTGGGCACACGAGGGGCCTCATGAGGCACAGGCGGAGGAGGGGGCGGGGGAGGCACGACCAACGACGGCGGCGTCCACGACGACAGGGCAGAGGCAGCACCCGTGGGGGGGGGAGAGGCTCTTCTCTGGGGCGGCCAAAGCTTTGTTTTTTTCTGGGTGCAATCGCGGGCCACTCTCCCAGAGCCTGAGCAACGTGCTTGAGATATTTCCCAACAAACTTCCTATCTTCGGCAAGCTTGCACTTCTCACCTTCGCTGGGCTGAACGCCCTTGTGTGCTGCGGCCATCGCTAAGCGATCCGCAGCGTCATTGCCTTCTGCCATTCGACGGGCCTCGCTGCCTACGGGTAGGGCTTGTGTATCTTGATGGGCTTTGACTTTTTAGAGCCTCGACCCTAAATGAAAGAGCCCTCGGCCAGCCAAGACTTTAAACCCAGCCCGCAGATTGCGACGGGGGTACTCGGTGCCTTGATGCAGCACTAGTACTCCTTTGTAGTCATAATAAAGTACTTCAACATTGCTGGACATAAGACTTGCCGCGGCTGCAGCCAAATGCCCCGCGGCTCCCGACGTTTGTAAAAACATCTGGCCGACTCGGCCACTGAAATGGGCAACAACTTCACCTTCTCTGAAACATACTACAGCGAAACCAGCAGCGTTGAGCACATAGTGCCCATGATTGGTGCAACTGCCATCTATAAACGCTTCCCCCCCGCTGAAAGCCTCTTGAGGGGTGGTGCCTTCTTGAGCGCACCAAAACTCCCCAAACTCCAATCCAGATCCAGGAGGAGGCGCTCCGCGGAACTCAGGGACCAGCTGGAACCCAAGACGTGAAAGGGGGGCCTGGGGAGGGGGCTCTCTTAAACGCTGAAGCTCCGCATCCGAGAAGTGAGTGGCTCTGAGAGCTTCAGTCTTCTGGCAGTGCAGTAATCTGTGGCAGAGGTTGTCCGAGTGATGGCCGCGCTCGCAGCCGACTGGAACTTCGTATCCTGCTGCTTTGGCTCTCTCCATGGTCCAGATACTTTGGGTGGGGAAGGCGAGTGAGGGGCCTTTCTGATGTCTAGGAAGGTCTGGCGAGAGAGCCATCCGAGCAGCCGTGACGTCTAACTGAGCGTCCGCGTGGCCGAGCTTGACGGCCGCCTTGGAGGCGAGCTGGCCGCGCCAGTCGTGCTCCATGAGCTTTTGGGGGGAGGCGGGGGAATGTCCTGGGGGTGGGTACTCAAGACCTGAGGCAGTCACAAAGGTAAGCGGCCCTTGGAATTTCCAAGCAATGTGCTTCAACGACAACGCCGCCGCACTGAGGGGGGCCCTGGAAGAGCACCGCGATTTAGACACCCTCGGGGGAATGTTTTCAGCCCAAGCTCGCAGTTGTGAGAGACTAGCCACGACCAAGTGCGGACGGGCGTTCGCGTCCCAAACTAAACGATGCCACATACTGGCGGGGCCGAGGGCCGTCACAAGGGGTCCTGGCGGATGAGCAACGCCAGGCTGCGGCTGCGGGTCGAGCATCTCGGGCCCGCAGCAGCCAGAAACTGCGACCTAGCAGATTCAAGTGGAGTGCCGTTGATGCCAGTGACCTCGGCTCCAAAAGTGGTGGCCGCTTCCAGGCCAGTCTTATGCAATTTGTGAGTGTTACCCCCGGCCCGTTTAAGCATGCGGACCCTGTTAAGTCTTTTACGCATCTTGTCAAGACGCTCCGTAAGTTTTCGAAACTTCCTCCATCTTCTCTGGGGGCGGCCAGCCCCAGTTTCACCCCCCTGGTTGGGTCCCGAACGATCGGGGTTCGGGCCTGCCAGAGGCCCTAGCTTGGTCCTGAGCTGGTCCTGCAACGCTTGGTGAGACGCTGGCACCTGGGTCTTCTTGTTGGTAATATGGCACTTAAACTCGTGGATGATGCAATCCGCCATCGATCTGGCGGCTATGTTCATGGCTAACGATGAGGCTGAAACTGCGGCCGTGGCACCGTAGTAGCAAATCATCAATGAACATAGCGAGTCTTACGTAGCTATGGGCCTGTGTCCAGATGTCCAAGGGGGCGAGCGCATACATCTGCACAAGGTACGTGGCCCAACTGCAGCCAGCAGCAATGCCCCTCCAAAGTTTGCCGACGCTGACCGCGCAATCTTGCAAAGAAGCGATACGTTCGCTGGCATACTGCGATAGAATGATGCGAAGTAAACAACAAGGAAACCCTGACTCAACAGCACGATGCGCTAGACATGGCCGATCAACATGTTCGTAGTAATTTGATAGATCATCGAGGACCTGGGCGCTGTATTGTTGATCTTTGGCTGAGCTGTTGAACTCGCATTCCAAGGATTGTTTGCATACCAATTCCACAATGGAGTGGCCAGCCTGGTGAGCTAGATAAGGCCGACGATGGTGGGCTTCCCACTCCCTGGCTGCCGACCTCTTAAGGCGGGCCCAGACACGATAGAGCGCTGGTAGCATGCCAATAGACCTGAACGAGGGCTGACTGACTGGTGTATCATGTTGTTTCTGTTTAATCATAAGCGTTGAGACAATCCCCTGGCGCTGAGTCGGCATGTGACCAACCTTCTCGATCCGAGCGATAAATTGGCAGACGATCTCCGCCTGCTCATTATTCAACATACTGAAGTGCCTCGGATGAAAACCGTCCCAGGTCGAAGCTGTGGCGTGAGGAAAACTCCGCAACTTGCCGAAGTATCTTGGGGGTAATCGGACCCAGGGCGACACGGTCATCGGTATCAGGAACGAGTTGAGGTGGGGTCTCCGGGGAAACTTGCCATATCTTTGCTAGGCGATCAGCTTCGACCTGCAATATATGCTGGGGCCTGCCTGTGTACTGAGACTGGTATTGCACCGATGTCGGGCGCCGGGCCTCCAGCCGTTTGGGCCATCTGTGAGCCCATCCCATTCCCCCGTTCATGTCAGACTGAACCCATTCCCTCCGAGCCCTCCCATCTGCGGCATTCTCCGCCGCCTGCTCCTGGTGCAGGAGCTTGGCGATCTGCTCTAGCAGCTCGTCTAGTACTTGCAGCGCCAACGTCTGGTCTAGAACGCCAGCCTGAAAATCAATAAGTAGCAAACCTGCGGCTACTCGTATATCCTGAAGCCCCTCCTTGAGGGGCACCGCGGTGGAGAACAACTCGGGGCAATCCTCCAGGCTGTCCAGGACTTCATGGAACTCAAGCAAATCCCAGTCCTGAATGCAGCGTCTGAATTCCTGAGCTCGGTTGCACAGCCATCTTAACGTGCTCGTATAGGCCACCCATTTGGCTCTGCTACGCGCTGTTTTGGCCTTCGTGGGAACCTTGAGAACCTGAGGGGGGGGGGGTGAGCCCCTGGGGAACTTACTGGGTTTGATAGGGGCGTTGGTCCTCCTACTGATTGTAGCTTCCAAGTCCTGGGCCAGGGCGAAGTGCACGTGGTCCAGGATCGCAGTCGACTGCTGATCGGAGAGAGGCCGTTGAGCATCTTCGATCAATTGCAATGCATAATCCATGATCGCGGCAGTCTGGTGCCAACTCACTTCTGGTAATTGCGGGCCCACTGGGATTTGGGTGGGCAACTTCTGGGGCCTATGCAGCGATGAGATGTAACAATTATTCTGGGCAGCAATATCCAACAGCACGGGCCTATGAGGGGAGAGAGGGTAGGAGGCCAGGGTACGGGGGTTCTGGAGCCAAGGCGCGAGGCCTTGGCTGGAGACAAAATAGTCGAGAGTCGACTTGGTCTTCTTGGTTCTGTAGGTGGCTGTCGGGGGCGCGAGCACGGCCATAGTGGACCTGGACAGAAACTCGGCCTGGGGCAACCTGGTGGGGGCCAAATTGAAATCCCCCGCGGCCAAAACTGGATGCGCTATGTCATCTTGAAGCTGGCCTATGGTGGCCAAGAGTTTTAACTTGGTCTCCGAGAGACCAGCAGCAGCTTGGAAATACGTTGAACACAAAGCAATTTTTGGGATCCCTGGGAGCTCCAGGATCCCACCCCAGACAAACGAGCGGGATCGCTCCCCGAGGGGATCAGCAGAGGTTGGACCCCCAGGTCCAGACCATCCCGAATCAAAATCGCGACTCCCGAAATCAGCTCATTATTTGGGGTTCACAGCAGCAGGAGTTATGCAGGCCAGCCACCCTTGAGACGCGCACCATTGTATCTGGCGTGCAATGTTATCGCCTTCGGCTAACTTACACTTCTGGGCACAAGCGATAGTGACTGCGCTGGCCTGCGGCGATTGCAAAACTTGCGAGCGGCAGGCCAGCACGATCCATTGATGGCGGCTAGCTTATAATTCTGGTTGCCCTGGCGGCGGGACCTCACTTGCGACCGCTGCGGCCGCTGCAGCCGCCCTGGCCTTCTTGGCTCGCCGTCGCTTTGGATCTTGGCCATGCCGTTGGCGACCGGCTCCAGTGCCGCAGCAGCCCGCACACGGCCCTGCGACTCGTCCATCGGGGTCGCTTCGGCGGCGTCGGCGAGCGGGGCGTACTCCAGCTCCTTGTCGTCCTCTGGCGTCGGTGCATGCTGGCCTGGAATGGGCTGGGGCGCTTCTGGCTCATCAGCTCGTTCGCCAACTGCGGGGAAACCGTCAGGTTCCTGTGCTGGTTGGGACCCCTTGCCTTTGCCATCGCCCTTCGCCTGGGTATCCACATACTTGGTGTGCTGATACTGCTTGTTGTCGAACAGCTGCGCCAGCTCCGATACTTTAGCTCGTAGTTGTGGTGGGGCCTCCCATCCCTCGGGCATGCGAGCAGCCAGCTTGCCATGGAGAGTGGTGAACAAGTCCTCACCCTTGGGCGCCTCGTACGCTGCTGCCTGGGCTGCCAGGTGGAGCTGGGATTCCAGGGACTGCGCTTCTTTGGTGTTGATCTCAATATCCTCGACCAGCTTGTCGTGGTGTTCGCTGGCCCCGACGATGGTGTGCACCAACTCCGTCGCTTCTTTCTTCTGGGCCGTGAGCTTCTGGCGCGCGACCTGCAACTGATCTGACAACGACTGAGCCTGCTGCTCCAAGCTCTTGGCGGACAGGGCCTGCGCCTTGGCGAACTTGAGCTTGCCCAGCGCTGACTTGTGCTCCTCTCCGTCTGGTTTCCACTTCTTCCAAAACGTGACCTGTGCTTGGGCCAGGGCCACGGGATCTTCACTGTGGGTGTCGTCCTCTGCGGCGGTGACCTTTCGACCACCTCCGCGGCCCAGACCAGGGGGTAGCTCGGGTCCGCGGGAGCTTGTCTCCAGCGGCCTGGCTTGGACGGTGGCACTTGCTCGTCATGCCGATCCTCCTGAGCTCCTCCCCCTCCCCCTGCTGGTCGATCTGCGTACGAAGCTGTCTCCGTGCGCTGCTTGAATATATTGCCACACTGGATGGGCGAGCGTTAGCAGAACTCCAAGCCCACCCTTTACAGCCACGCTTCGAGCAAATGCCATACTTCCTCTGGGCCGCCGCCATCTCCTGTCTCCTTTGCGCCGCAGCACGCACAGGCAATGGGCCCAGCAAGTGGCACTAGTGCGGGGCGTGATTGTGCCTCTGCCTGGGGCTGACCAGGCTGGCACTGGGCAAAAGCGAAGGCTGGGGCCCGAACACCCAGGGCCTTTCCTGGATGGCAGTGCTGAGTCCTGCACCTCCCGCGGTGTGCTCAGGACTTGAGCCAGGAGGAGGAGGAGGACGAGGAGGAGGAGGAGGAGGAGGAGGAGTCTCAATACCCACTCGGCTACGAGAAAGAAGCATCTGGATATATACAATTGAAGGAGAATGAGGATGATGATGATGATGCTGCTGATGCTGATGATGATGCTGATGATGATGATGCTGATGTTGCTGATGCTGATGCTGCTGATGATGGTAATGAGGATGATGAGGATAAGGATGGGGATGAGGATGGTGCTGATGCTGATGCTGATGCTGCTGCTGCTGCTGATGATGATGATGATGATGGTGATGATGATGATGCTGATGATGATGATGATGCTGCTGCTGATGGTGTTGTTGTTGATGATGATGATGATGATGAGGAGGAGGAGGAGGAGGAGGATGAGAGGAGGAGGAGGAAGAGAGGAGGAGGAGGGTTTCGAGATCTCTCGCCCCCCCCCCCCCCCCCCCCCCCCACGGGCTTGAGGGCCCCAGCGTCTTTCCCATCAGCCGCGCCTCGTCGAGAACTTTCTTGGGAATCCATATTCGTCCCGAACAACCTCCCAGGGCCCGAGTTACGCCCAGAAGCCAATTGGAAGAGGATGAATGGTAGAAATAGGTTTTCGACCTCCCACACGACATTCGTCCCCGCTAGACTCAAGAGACACCAGGGTAGTCCCAGGAGGTCGCAACATTTCAGCCCTGGGCGCGGAGTGCGGGGGGCGCCACGTCTGTGGATGGTGCGATCGCCCTAGGCTACCCCAAGGGCTTACTGAGGCCAGCCAGAGTCCATCAATTGCTAGCTTTTGCACCCTTGCGTTTTTTTTCCCAGCCAACCTGTGGTGTTGGATGCCTCGTTTTGATGAGACGGTCCCCGCGTCCCTCCTCTTCTCCTCTCCTCCTCCTCCTCCTCCTCCTCCTCCTTGCCTCTCCTCTCTCCTCTCGTCACCCTCTCACTTTGGTACACCCCTCACACGTTTCGTGGCCCCGTGGGGAGCTTCACTTGAGGTCCCAGTGGTGCAGTTCGCATGGCGGCGCCGCCCCATTTTGGCACACCCGTCACACGTTTCGTGGCCCCGTAGGGAGCTCCACTTGAGGTCCCAGTGGTGAAGTTCGCATGGCGCCGCCGCCCCATTTTGGCACACTCCTCACACGTTTCGTGGCCCCGTAGGGAGCTCCACTTTGGGTCCCAGTGGTGCAGTTCGCATGGCGGCGCCGTCCCATTCTGGCCCACTCTCACACGTCTCGTGGCCCCGTAACCATTTTGGCTCAAGTGTTGCCGCTGGATCAAGCATCTCTCTCAAGGTGGCTCAAGCATCTCTTTCAAGCATCTGTTTCAACATTCCGTCCACCCTATCCTTTCCTTTTACATCTCTCTATACATCTTGTGCCAAACATCATGGTGACAAAGGGCGCTCAATCGAACAACTCTCCCGAAGATCACAAGAAGGCAAACATCAAGCCCAAACAGGAAACAGTTGAGGAAATGTTTGCGGAACTCAAGGGCTTGATGGGAGGCCTCAGCACGAAGGTTGCAAGACTTGCCATCGCTCACGAAGCCAAAACCGAAGCCGCATCCGCGAAGCAGGCTGCCCTCGAGACGTCTTTGACCATAGCCAGCTTAGAGGGCAAGATCAACAAGACCAACGAGATCAACGAGACTGTGGCCACAGTGCGAAAGGAGGTCGAGCACATACAGCTGGCAAAAACCACCATCCGCAGGAACCACAAGGAGTCGGACTCCGACATCAAAGACAAGCAGGTGCTCGCGTTAAATTTCAAGGAGCGTATGGAGTCGGACATCATCATCGCCAAGATCGAGGCGATACTCACCGAAGTGTTGGGCGGCAGCCACACCGCCAAGGTGGAAGCCGGCGGAAATCCTGCGAATATGGGGATCATCACATTCGAGGATACATCTCACAAAACTGACTTTGACAAGACAATGGAACCGATCAAGGGTAAAAAAACACGTGAATCCCATTTTTTCGGAACACCTCCACAATGGAAGAGAAGACGAATGACAAACTATTCGGTTACACCAAGTTCCACCTCACCCGCAAGGGCCACGCCAAGGATGAGGACATCCAGATCGTCTGGCGGAAGAGCCTGGTGGAGGTTCACGGCTGTAAGGTGGCCTGGATCGATGAGTCCCAGGTCTGGCGCGCTACGGGAACAGCCAAGAAGGTTGAGCAGGGCGTGGAGGCGCCCATGGAAGCATGGAGGAAAAAGGTGGACCCCGACCTGGCGACCGAGTCAGAGTGAAGGGATGCCCCTCCCTCCCGGGAACATGGGGCTAATGCGGCTCACAATCTTGAGTTTCGCCCGCCATCCAGAATGCATTTCCATAGGCATTCGATTTTTCCATTCCCTATCCCCCTCTCTCCAAATGGAGTCCAGACGAATCTTCCCAGGAATGCTGAGACTTTTGTGAGTACCCTGCAGGACGAATCCGATAAATTACGTTTTAATCCCCCCTCTCAAGGAAGTCAGCTCTCAGGACCTACATCGTCAAGGCCAGCGTCGCGACCACTTGCGACGACAATGCCGGCACGCAGCAATGGCGGTGGCAGAAAGGGCTTTGCACATGCAGACGGCGACGTGCCATTGAGCATTTTCACAGCATAGCGCACTCCCTTGCCGAATAGCATTGACCACCACAACCAGCCACATCACCATCGACCAGCAGCGACCGACTACCACGAGCAACCGCAACCAGCAAACCTCGACCGCAGCCAACCACAACAACCAACAACACTGACCACCAACCACCACAACCAGCAACACTTAACCAAACCACCACCACCGACCAGCGCCGACCACCAGCGCCAGCAGTGGCACCGACTAAAACCAGCAATTTCACACCATCCAGCATTGACCAACAACGACGAGCAAAAACCGACGCAACCGACTCCAGACCAGTACCACCAGCAAAACACACCCAATCAACCGCAGACCACACAACAACAACACAACCGACTAGCAGCGACAAGCCAACACCAAGCAATCCAGACCAGCGCCGACCACGACCAACCAGCAGCACCAACGAAAAGGACACCGACCACTGACGAGCACCGACACCACATACGCATAACGTTCATTCGCAAACATGCCCGGGCACGCACGACAGACGACCGGGTCAGCGAACTCATCGCAGAGCTCGACAATTGCCATTGGGATTTTGTGCTCATCGACGAGACATGGAGGACGACTACAACGGAATTGTGGACAAACGTGGGAGGGCATAACTGGATCTGGCAATGGCAAGGCGTGCCGCGGAGTTGCTATTCTTATACACAAGCGTTGGGGAAAGAGCATGCAGAGATTTGAAGCCCACTCGCCATGACTCGCCGCGATGCTGTTGAAAAGAGGGCGGTTGAAATTGCAGTTGGTGGCCGCATATTTTCCACGCGCTGGGTGCAGCGATCCGCACATTCAGCGCGTGTGCGACGCGATCCACGAGATTCGCAGAAAGAGAGAGAGAGAGAGAGAGAGAGAGAGAGAGAGAGAGAGAGAGAGAGAGCACCAAAGCACGACGCCATATTATACTCGCTGGTGACTTCAACGCGCAGGTTGGGGAATCTCGTATATCAGTAGACGGCGACGACGAGGACGACCTCATCACTTCCACGTGTCGGCCGCCACGGATATGTGATCGAAAACTCGAGGGGTGCATGGTTGCGACATTGGGCTGTCCAAGAAGGGCTTGTGCTTGCCAATGCGTTTCCCCGAAAACCTATGCGTGAGCAGATCATTTACGTGCGCGGCGACAAGCCGAAACAGCTCGACTACATGTTGCTTAACCGCAAGCTCTTCAATCATTGTGCTAATGCCGAGGCCAACAACGCTGCCGACCTGGGATCCGACCACAAGGCTGTCATCATTGAGTTGAAGATACCAGAAGCAATGGTAACACAACGACCGCGATGAGACGACGACCAACGGCAGCGCAGACGTGCACCACCCGACGCCCCCACTGGCAAGATCATCGATGTGAACGTCTACCACGACCATCAAAGACGACGATTGAAACCAGACGAACTACCAACCGACTCGCAACCCTTGGACGAGCACATCCAACAAGTTCTCATCGACGGCGCCACCGCTAGCAGCGCTGGAGAACCGCAGCCAGACCGACAACCAGACACAGGAGCCGAACGTCTACGCTTTCTCATCACGCAGCGACGCCAGACACCAAGCAACCACCACCGCACCCGCAAACAACTGAGCATACTGATGCAGCAGGAGTTTCGCGCACAGAAGCGGCGGACACGACGGGCCCATGCCGGGAGCGTGTTCGAACAGTTCAGAGACTTCATAAGTATCCCGCGCATCAAGACGCGCAGCAATCGGAATCTCATCACTCACATGACAGACAAAGGAGGCTCACAGCACACGGCCTGGCAAGACATTGCAGACATATTTGCGTTCTACGATCAGCTATACGACGCAAACGCCAAGCCGACGCTGCGAGAGCGACGCAGCGACGACTTCCCACCCTTCACTGGCGAAGGGTCTCCGGTTTGGTAAAGCTCTAGACGTCAGAGGCCTACGAGCAGAAATGTAGAAGGAAGGCGCAGAAGAATTGCACGGCGCACTTCTCCATCTCTATAGCGCGACCATCCAGTCCGACGCTCCGCCGCCGACCAGCTGGGAGAGCACTGTCGTCGCGGTCATTCCTCAGACTGGGGATCTAGCGTTTCCGCAAAACTATCGGCCCATATGCGCAGCACAATGGCTGTGCAAGCTTTCCAGCAGACTTCTCCACGACAGACTGCAACCATCGCTCGGCCCCCGATGAACTGCAGACCGGGCCGACTTCAGGTCAGGGCACTCAACCACCGACCATTTGTTCGTTCTCCGCAGTCTCCCTGGGCGCGCGCGCGAATGGAACCCGAATTTGCGGGTGGCGGCAGTCGACTTCAAACCGGCTTTTGACGCCGTCGAGCACAATGGCATGTGGGCAGCGCTATTGGCGCAGGGCGTTCAACGAGGATGCATCTCACTGCTCCAACAGCTGTGCGAGGCGCAGGCAGGCGGCCACGGTCAGGACTGGCGTCAGCAGCAAGTCCTGCAGTTTCATCCGGAGAACGAAGCAGGGCGACCCGCTCAGCTCCTTGCTCTTCAACGCTTTGCTACAGCACATCCTTGCACGACTAATCACCGACTGGCAAAAGACGGGTAAAGGGAGCGAGGCTAGGATTCACCGCTACCTCCACGCTCACTAACCTCCGCTTCGCCGACGACGTGCTCCTGACAAGCCAAACTCCACCGCGCCTCGCCGCGATGCTCGACGACGTCGCGCGCGCAGTGCGACCTCCCGGACTTGAGTTGCACCCTTTCAAAACCGAAACGCGCAGCAACCAGACCGGGCGGAAGTGCGCATTCAGGACATGGACATCGACGTCCTTCCCCGCGATGGCAGCATCAAGTACTTCGGTCAACTCATCAGCTCTCGCGACGCGGTGGGGGCGGAAATCCACCGCCGCACGAGGGCAGCATGGGCAACGTTCACTTCGCAAACAGGAGCTGACAAGCAAGCGCAACCCACTGGCACGCCGACTCCGGCTTTTCAGCCGGGCCGTAACACCCGCGGCGCTCTACGGAGCAGAGACATGGGCGCTCGCGGAACCTCCCCGGAAACGCCTGCGGCGAACGCAGCGACGCATGCTCCGCGTGATCATCGGGGCGCCATGGCGACGCGCTACCCGCCAAACAACCCTGGCGCGCAGCACCCAGGAACGCGCGGCCGACCGCGCGACCACTCAAGCACCTGGCCAAGAAACCAGCAGCCGCGACGACGCAGAGAGCAACGCGCCCCAACAAGACACGACCGACCGACACAGCGAGAGCAACGACGACAACAATGACGAGGATGCGATGGATCCGTGGGTCGACAACATCCAGCGAGCCACGCGGCGCGCAGAACAGCTCATGCAGCACTGCCACATCGAAAACTGAGAGACGATGCGCAGACAGTTTGTGGCGCATGGCGTCTAGGGTAGCCGGCCGCGAGCCCGCCGGATGGGCGCGGCGTGCGCAGCGCTGGCAACCAGGAGAGAATTCGCGGCAACGCGGCCGGAGACACCACGGCGGCCAGCGCAGGCGTTGGGACGACGACCTCGTCAGCTTCCTTCAAGAACACCGACCCGACCTGCGCCCAGCGCCCACGCCAACCAATGAGCAGGGCAAACCGAACGACCTCACTTGGGTTCGCTCAGCTCAAGACACCACCTCGTAGTCGATACTCGAGCACGCATGCATTAGCACTTCGCCGACATTCACAACCGGGACTTCTCCTCCTCTCCTCCTCCGTCGTGCATTTTTGTGTGTTGCGCAGAACTTCTTTTATGTCTCGCAGTTCCCATGCGTGTCTGTATGTTTACAGGAGGCCACGGCCTCGCCCACTTGGTCGTTCATTCCTCGCACGTCTCGTGGCCCCAGACAAAGCTCCACCTAAGGTCCCAGTGGTGCAGTTCGCATGGCGGCGGTGCCGCCCAATTGTGGCGCGCCCCTCGCACGTCTCGTGGCCCCGGACAAAGCTCCACCTAAGGTCCCAGTGGTGCAGTTCGCATGGCGGCGCCGCCCCATTTTCGCACACCCCTCGCGCGTCTCGTGGCGCCAAACAAGTTCACCTAAGGGCCCCATGGCGCAGTTCGCATGGCGGCGCCGCCCCATTTTCGCACACCCCTCGCACATGTTCGTGGCCCCGTAGGGAGCTCCACCCGAGGGCTCCATGGCGCAGTGCGCATGGTGGCGCCGCTCCATTTTTGCACGCCCCTCACGCGTTTCGTGGCCCCAGTGGGAGTCCCACCTGATTCGTCGGCTAACGCGGCGCCGCCGACCCAATGGGGTGGCAGTAGGTGATAAACGGAGTTGGCGGAACGATTCCTGGGGAAACTTGGGGTTTCAGTTTCTTGGGATTTCGTCGGGGGCGGTTGGCGGATCGCCGCTCTGCTCCCGGGCTTCTCTGGGCTCTCCTGGCAGCACTTCTGAGGCCTCTTAGGGGCCATTTTGAGGTCCTAGCAGCCTCTTTTGGGCCTCTCGGGGGCCTCGCGTGAGCTTCTTGGGGGCCAATTGGCACCTCCTCAGGTTTTTCTCGGGGCCGAGTGCTGGACGTGTTAGTTCGGGTTTCCCCTCTGGGCCTCTTGATGGGGCCGTCCTGGGGCCCTCCTGGATCGTTTTGGAAGCTTGAGGGGCCATCTTGGGGCCCTCTTGGGCCGTCTTGGAGCCCTCTTGGGGGCCTCCCGGGCTATCTTGTGTCGATCTTAAAGGCTTCTTGGGCCGCTGTGGGCCTCGTGAGAGTCCGAGAGGCGAATGTCCCACGCATTCCGAAGGGGAATGGGCGATTTTTGCTTCCGGAGGGCCTCTTGGGACGCCTCTTGGTGGCTTCTCGGGGCGTCTTGGGGGCCTCTGGGACCGTCTGGGGGCGATCTTGGGCGTCTTGGAGCGATCTTTCGGCGACTCGTGGCCCTTGGGCCGTCCAGGGGGCCTTTTGGGGCCCTCTTGGCCAGTTTTGGGCCCCCCTGCGGCTTCGAGGGCGCGGCTGGCAAAGTTGCCCGCCGCCCCCCGCCCCCTCCATGCCGGCCGGGCCGGGCCCCCGGGGGAGGGGTTTGGGGGGGGGGGGGGGGGCATCTCGCGCGCCGTGACCCCGAGGTGTCGGCGGATTTTCCATTGTTTGGCTTCGCGCCGCGGACGACCCGCGACCCTCTCGGGGCGACCAGCGCGCGTCGCGGGAATTCCGCGCGGCGCTCTGCCCAGCGCCCCGCTCGCCCGTCCTCGCTTTGCCCAGCGGCCAGATTCTTGCCCGCCATCGGCCAGCCAGCTAGCCCTTTTTGCTCCGCGCAGCGGGCGACCCGCGCGCGTCGCCGGGACCCGCTCGGGGCGACCAGCGCGCGTCGCGGGAACTCCGCGCGGCGTTTTGCCCAGCGCCTCGCACGCCCGTCGTCGCTCTGGCCAGCGGCCAGATCTTTGCCCGCCATCAGCGGGCCAGCTAGCTCTCTGTGCTCCGCGCAGCGGACGACCAGCGCCCGTCGCTGGGACCCTCTCGGGGCGACCAGCGCGCGTCGTTGGGGCTCCGCGCTGCGCTGCGCTTGCAGCCTTGGGCCGTGAAGTGCAGGGGCAAACAAGGAGAAGCACAAAGGAAGGAAGCGAGCGCGATCCTCGTGAGGGGCGTGCCAACACGGGCGGAGCTCCTTATGGCAGCCGCGCCCAGTACCGCGGGTACTCAGAGCTTGGCGTGTTCAAGCCGTTCACATTCATATACATGTATACTAGGTGTATCCATGCCCGCATTCATGCGAGTAGACTCACTCGCACGCAGACTTATCCTCAATCCGATTCAGTCGCGCTCAGACCCACCCGCGCCCAGTCTCTCGTGTGCAGACCTATCGTCTGCGTTCATGTTGTGTACGCCGCCACACGTGTCGACACACCCCTCATGCGGGTCGTGGCCTCATAGGGGGCGCCGCCGAAATCGATGTTCACATTTGCGATGCTCACAACTGCATATTGTTGGGTCCTTCGCCAGGCTAATCCTCACATCTGCCCTACCTCATGGATCATGCCATTTCGTCGCGGCCACCTCACATGAGTTCGAGCTTGGGAAGCCACGTTCGGCGTGTATAGATTGTGGGCATACGTGCGCACTAAGCAGGGTGTCTGCTCTCACTTTTCCCGAAGTCGCCAAAGACACTTGGAAGTAATCGCTTTCCAGGGCGTGATGACGGCGAACTATGGTTTGTTGGGCGGAGATGCGGATGGCGGTTTGGGTATGCCGCTAGCAAAACCCAAACAGCGTGTTTATATGCGCCTTGGGGTAGCATTGGTTTGGGAAATACCATGCCGTTGATCGATCATTGTTCGTTTCGCTGTCTAGAGCAACGTGCGTACTCGGGCCAACTGGTCCATTGGAGGCACTTTTGCTGCTGCCGAGAAGGGCAGTGTTTCTGAGACTCGCGCCTCATCGGTGTTTTCCCGCATGGAATCCGTTGACGCGCCAAACGGGATGGTGTTACGTTTTAAACGGTTTAAAATGGGGTGCAGGTGGCCCTCCCTTGTCTCTTCCTCTCAATTGGAGCGCCTCGACGACCTCGCTCCCCTGACCATCTCTCAGAATTTCGGAAGAGGACAATTATACATATCCACCCCGTTCCTCCCCCTTCGCCTCTCAGGAAAAGGGGGATCAATCAGAGGAGGGGGCGTGATGAGGCTGGAGGTGGATCTGTGCAAATATCTGAATCAAGTCCTCCTGAGCAGGTGGCCGCTGGCAGCCGCCGTGTCGCCAACGGGACGCCCCTTTCCGACGCACGCGGAAGCGCCCAGCCTGCCCAGGACAACGGTTTTCTTTCTCTTGTCGTCTTCGCCGCCGTCGCTGTCGCCGTCGCCCTCATCGTCGTCGTCGCCGTCCCTTGCCTTATCCCTCCCTCCTCCATCTAATTATTGAGCCACCAGAGCGGGACTCAGGAGGAAGCCTGCACGCAGATTCTTGGGCTTACGCCGCACCGCCGACCACCTGGGGAACTGGCGGTCGTGTTGTGTTGCTTCAGAGGGCCTTTTGGGTGGGCGCTGCAAGAGGGTTTATGGGGGGCCTCTTGGAGCTTCTTGGAGGGCGTCTGTGAAGCTGTGTGGGGGTCTTCCCTTTTTGTTCAGGGTCCTCCTTGGAAGCCTCTGGGGCCGTCTGGGGGGATGTTGGGAACCTCTTGGGCCGTCGTGCAGCGTCGGGAAACCGGAAAGACGAGAACGCTAAAATCTTCGTGGGGCCCTCTTGGGAGTGGTCTTGGAGGTCATTAGGGGCGTTTTCGGGGCGTCTTGGACCGTCTGGAGGCTACTTGGCCGTCCTGGAGGAGCTTTCGGGGACTGGGGGCCCTCTTGGGCTGTCCTGGGGGCCTCTTGGGGTGGTCGCGCGCGATCTCTGAGACTCAGAATCTTGCGTTCTGGGAAGCTGAGCAGCTCTGCTCTGAGGACTGGTACCGTGAGGCAGCCCAGGTTTCCTCTGGAGGTGGTGACCAATATCTAGAAGGCCCGAAGTGCTTGTGTTCAATGACCTCTGATAGTAACTAGTGTGTCGCCAGTGGCTCTCTAAACCAGTTGGCAGCAGCAGCTGGGCTGGGCCCTGCGGGTCCGCAGCAACTCAAGAATGTGCAGGGGCTCAGGTTCGGAATGACGCCTGTGGCGAAGCGGGCGTCCCCTTCCCCCTCCCTCCTCCACCGTCCTTCTCCCTCCTTCGCCTCCTGTCTCAGCTGGGTTAAGGCTCGGGCGAGGCTTCGATGCGTGCCCCGTCTCTTCTTGGCGAGGAGACGGGTTCTGACGCGCCAGATTCCCCCTGATCATGTGTTGCTCGGCTTAGGTCCGTCCTAGAATTCCTCCTCCTCCTCCTGCTCCTCCTCGATGTGCACCGCTCAACGATGTGCTGTGTAACCGAACCTGCAGGGTGGGCCTTTTCCCGAATCCGTGCTTCGGTGCGGATCGTCTGCGCGCCTCGTCTCCGTCTTTGTCGTCGTCGTTGTCGTCGGCGTCGTCGTGGTCGTGGTGCGTGTTGCTCTGCTCGGGACTTGTTTCCCTAATGCAGTGACCACCACCACCACCACCCTGCTCCCCAGGGCTCCAGAGCGGGGGGGGCCACTGCCACTACTACTACTACTACCTACTACTACCACCCTACCTACTACTACTACTACTACTACTACTACTACTACTACTACTACTACTACTACTCCTACGACGACGACGACTACTACTACTACTAGTACTACTACTACTACTACTACTACTACTACTACTACTACTACTACTAGTACTACTACTACTACTACTACTACTACTACTACTACTACTACTACTACTACTACTACTATACTACTACTACTACGACTACTACTGCTACTGCTACTACTGCTACTACTACTACTACTACTAGTAGTACTACTACTACTACTACTACTACTACTACTACTACTACTACTACTACTACTACTACTACTACTACTACGACTATTACTACTACTACTACTACTGTTGCTACTACTACTACTACGACTACTACTACTTTTGCTACTACTACTACTACTGCTGCTGCTACTACTACTACTACTACTAGTAATTTTATCACGATCAGTACTACTGCTACTAATACTACTATTATTACTACTACCACTAATACTACGATTACTACTTGTTACTACTACTACTACTACTACTACTACTACTACGACTACTACTACTACTACTACTACTACTACTACTGCTACTCCTGCTACTACTACAGCTACTACTGCTACTACTACTACTGCTACGATTACTACTCCTACTACTACTCCTACGACGACGACGACTACTACTACTACTACCACTACTACGACGACGACGTCTACTACTACTACTACTACTACTACTACTATTATTACTACGGCTACTATTACTACTACGACGACGACGGCGACGACGACTACTACGACTACGACTACGACTACGACTACGACTACGACTACGACTACGACTACGACTACGACTACGACTACGACTACGACTACGACTACGACTACGACTACTACTACTACTACTACTACTACTACTACTACTACTACTACTACTACTACTACTACTACTACTACTACTACTACTACTACTACTACTACTACTACTACTACTACTACTACTACTACTACTACTACTACTACTACTACTACTACTACTACTACTACCACTACTACTACTACCACTACTACTACCACTACGACTATTACGACTACTACGACTTCTGCGATTGCTACGACTATTACGACTATTTCTGGAGCTGGCTGGAGCTTGGAGCTGGCTTGGAGCTTAGGTGAGCACCCCACCTCCCGATCACCTTTGCTGGTTCCCATCCAGCGCAGACTTCCCCACCGCAGCCAACGTCTAGAGGGACGTCAGTACCGCGTCGGGGCGGAGCGAGCGGGGCTCCGAAATGGCCCGAGGTGCTCCAGTGCCACGCGGCGCCCTCGCAGGCGGCTCTTACTTTCGATGACAAAGCGACTGCGCCGCAGGTGCACCGCGTGCCCTGCGGGAGTGGCGCCACGCAGGTCTCCGCCTCGGCTTGCCGGGGCCCGCGGCGCCTGCGGCGGCGGCTGCGACGCCCAGCGCCGATGTGCTGGAGGCGATTTGAGCTGCGTCTGATCGGCCGTGTCGATGATGCCTGATGAGGCTAGGACTTCGTGGGCGGCCAGGTTGCGGCGCGCAGCAGGGACCGTTCGGCGCCTCCACGTCGGCTGCGCCTGCAGCAAAGGCGGGCTCGATCAGATGAAGACGTCTGGCAACCCCGTCGCCGGCACGGACAGGGCGGAAGGGAGCCCGAGCAAGACCAGAGAGGAGAGAGCTCCCCAGGGATGGTGAGGGACTCCTCCCCTCGAGAAGGAGCCCTGAGCAAGCTCAGGACGCCCCCCTCCTCTTTTCGGCGGCGGGAGAGTGGGGAAGCGAGAAGGAGAAGGCCTTCTCAGAACGCTCGGAAGCCCCCCGGCCTGAGAAGTCTTCTAAGCCTTCCCCGAAGACAGAGAAGACCTCTCAAGAAGGCGCGAGGGCTCCTGAGAAGCCCCGCCGCCTTCTGAGAAGGCCTTCTTCTCATTTCCCCCCCTCGCTCGCCGCCGATTCTTGGCCCGACGTCCTCTCGCGGTTCTGGGGCTCTCGGCCCCACCACCTCGCGCGGGGGCCTCACCCCGCGTGCCCGCCCTCGCGGGCTCCTCTGCGGTGGGCTGTTGCCGTGTCGACGTGGCGGCGACGCCAGTTGGCGGTCGTTCGAAGCCAGTGCTGAACGACTTTGGCCCAGGCAGGGTTCCCCTCTTGTAGAGCCCCCCCCCCTGAGCGCAGGTCGGGCGTGTCCCTCTACAGGCGGGAAATTCAAACATAGCAAAACATGATACCGGAGAAAACACGCAATCATATTCGTTTTAGGGCTGTAGGGCTATAGGGCTACAGGGCTATATGGGCTCTTGGGCCCTGTATGGGCTATTGGGCTACATGGCTATATGGCTATATGGGCTAAAAAGGGCTATAGGGCTATTGGGCTATAGGTCTATAGGGCTATAGGGCTATGGGGCTATAGGGCACCCCCGGGCACCGGGGCACCCCCGGGCACGCCCGGGCACCCGGGCACCTGGGCACCCGGGCACCCGGGCACCCCCGGGCACCCGGGCACCCCCGGGCACCCGGGCACCCGGGCGTGCGGCGAAAATCGGCAGCAAACCTAACCTAACCATATGAATCCGCTAGGCCCCCTACAGAGGCAAGCTCTGATTGGGGAATAGTCTGGTGAATGTTTTGCTATTATTTTTCGACTTTTCTTTTTTGTGCCAACTTGTCATTTTTCGCCCAAGTACGCCTGCAGGGGGATATGCCTGACCTGATCGTAGAGCCCCCCCCCCCCCGAGCGCGTCCAGCTCGGCCCGCAGCGTCACCGCCTCGGCCCAGGCCGCGCTGCAGCCGACGCCGCTGCCGCGGCCCCGACCGCGCGCCTCGCCGCCGCCGAGCGCCTCCCGAGGTCCCTCCGGAGGGGGCTTCGCCCCTGTGGGGCCACCTGCACCGACGCCTGCGCGCGCACACGGACGGAGGGGGCTGGTCCCCTGTCTTACTCCTCCCCGACCCCTGCCGCCGTCTCTCCGTCGGCCCAGTGGCGTGGTTGCCGCACCGCCGCCGCACGCCGAACGGGCGGGCGGGCGAACGCTGGCCCCTCGGCGGCCTGAGCCCAGGGATGTCTGAGGACTGCCCAGGCGAGGAGGGAGCCGGCCGGGATGCCTGGGAGACACTTCCAGGAGCCCCCCCCCCCTTCCCGTGGGTGCCGGCAGGAGCCCCTGCCGCAGCCGCCGTCCGGGGTGGAGTCGGCCGCGGCTGCGCGCGTCGCCTGGGAGGCCAGCGGGGCCGCCGCCGAGGAGGCCCTGCGGCTGCACTGCTCGCCCTCGGGAGGAGGGAGAGAGGGAGGGAGGGGGGAGGACAAGCGGGGTGCACTCGCGCCGTGTCTGACATCCTAGACCTCCCACGCATCTCTTCCCACTGCGCTGATTGTTTGATCTATCCGCCGATGGGTGCCGCAGCGGACCTGGACCCCCCAAAGGGGACACCATCGTCTTATGTGCAGTTGGATACAGAGTAGCTGTGTATCTAGGCCTCCTAGAAGGGGTCGGAGTAGATGGGGTCGGAGGATCGCGCCGCATCGCCGATGCATCGACGATGCATCGGCGATGCATCGGCGCCGCGGCTCGATGTGGGGCCCAATGTTCTCCATGCCGACGTCGCCGATGTACCGCCGGCATCGCCTGTGCATCGCCGACGCATTGGGTGATGTGGCGAGATCCTCCGACCGCATCTACTCCGATCTCATCTAGGAGGCCTCTGGTGTACATGGAAGAAGGAGGAGGAAGAGGAGGAGGTTGATGAGCTAGAGGATGAGCAGGAACAAGAGGACATTGAGGGCACAGGCCGAGGAGAAACAGCAGCAGCAGGAGCAGGAGTGGTAGGACCAGGTGAACGCGGAGGAGGGAAGGGAGCGGGAAGGCAACGACCAGGAAGGACTCGGATCCAGACAAGTGGCCCGCGCTGAGGAGAGAGCGCAATTCAGAACGACGGCAGCAGAGCGCCGATCCTGAAATGAGGCGCGCGCGCGCGCTGCAGCGGGAACACCATCTTGAAACACCGACACGTTACAATTGAAGCAGCCACATACCAGATCTTCGGTAGAGCTCCCGTGTGAGAAAAAACAATACACGGAGAGGGCGGGATATTCTTGGCATGTAGTTGGGGGAGAGCGGAGAGAAGTCTTGTATTGTGTACTTGTGGAAGGGGTCAAGGGAGAGGAGCGAATGAGGGAGGATGTCGGAGGAAGGATGGAGGAGGGAGCGGGATGAAGGAGGGAGGAGGCACGGGAAAGAGGCAGGAAGAGGCGGAGGAGGAGGAGGAGGAGGAGGAGGAGGAGGAGGAAGAGAAGGAGGAGGAAGAGGAGGAATTGGAGGAGGAAGAGGAGTTGGAGGAGGAGAGCACTCCAAATCGATTTGGGGTGAAGCACAGCCTAGGATGCACCCTGGCATAGGCATGTGGACTACTGTCAAGAAGATGTTGATTAAGAAAGGGGGGAAGGGACGCTTTGGATTCGAGGATCGAGTTTCTAGGATAGCTGTTCTTTTTGTGGGGGCCTCAGGGGGGCTCCTCGTCGCCACGGCTGGTGTCACCTCGCAAGTTCTGTCTCAGCGCATCCCTGGACAGGTCCAGGGGCCGAATCTTGAGAAGAGGGGGCTGCGGACTGCGGGGAGGGGGCGGTGGCATGAGTGAATGGGGAGGGGTGGCGGAATGGCAGGCATGGGGGGGATGGTAGGAGGGGGTGGTTGGATAGAGGCAGAGGGGGGGGGGTGACGACGAAGATGATGATCTGGGCGATGACGACGACCACGACGACGGCGATGACGATGAGACGACGCCGACCGACGGCCACCGACTGACGAAAAAGACGGACGACGACCCACACCCTCATCCACAATGACCGTCGCCGTCGCCGCCAGTCGAAGTCCATCGTCCGTCGTCGTCTTCGTCGTCGTCGTCGTCGTCGTCTTCTCGTCGTCGTCTCGTCGTCTTCTCGTCGTCGTCGTCTTTGTTTGTTGTCGTCGTTTGCCGTCGTTTGTCTTCGTCGTCGTTTGTCCTTGCCGGGTTTTGGAAGTTTCCGATGGTGCCCCGAGGCTTCCAGAGGAGGAGGAGGAGGAGGAGGAGGAGGAGGAGGAGGAGGAGGAGGAGGAGGAGCAACGGAAAGGTTCTAGCGGAGCTTCCTGGTGGCCTTGGAGGAAGGGGAAGGTTCTGAAAGTTCTGCAGCAGGAAGGTCTTATGGGGAGGAGGAGAGCGAGCAGCCACAGGCGTGGGCGGAGGACAGCGCGGGATGAGGGAACGGCGCGCGCGGCTGCTACGGTTCGAGCTTCCGCGGCGCCAGAAGTGGCGTGCTACCCCACCTCCTTCTCCTCCTTTTCCTCTCCCTCCTTCTCCTTCTCCTCCTCCTCCTCCTTTTCCTCCTCCTCCTCCTCCTCCTCCTCCTCCTCCTCCTCCTTCTCCCGAGGACGTCTTCCCGTTCTGTTGATGCTGCCTTTGGCACTTGGCGGGCCTCCGGAGGCCCCTCCCTGCCTGACCGCCCGGCACTTCTCCTCCCCACCTGCACGGCTCCTCCGGGCCGGAGCGCAGGCGAAGTGTCGACCGCGAGCGAGGGGGGAAGCGAGAAGGAGAAGGCCCTCTCAGAAGGCGGCGGGGCTGCTCAGAAGCCCTCGCGCCTTCTGCGTGGTTTGTTCCGTCTTCGGGGGAGGCTTAGAAGACTTCTCAGATGGCCGGAGGCCTTCCGAGCCCCCTGAGTCGTGGCCCAAGAGAGGGGGGTCAATGCAAACGGGGGTCAGTCAGAGCGCCGGATCTTGCAGGGTCCTGCGGGGCCAGGGGCGCACTGGCCTGGGTTTGGGTGCAGGATGATGAAAGGGATTTTGCAGGATTTTGCAAGGCATGACTGACCCGGGTCTGGATTGACCCGGGTCAGCAGATCCCCGACTGAGAAGCCCCGCCCCTTCTCACTTCCCCCCTTGGCTCGCCGCCGAAAAGAGGCGCAGACGTGACTGTGGCCGAGAAGCCGTGAAGTTTCGGCTTGGTGTCGGGTCGACCAATTTTTGTGAGTGTGTGTGTGTGTGTGTGTGTCTGTGTGTGTGCGCATCTGTGTGTGTTGTGTGTGTGGCGTAACGTCTGGCATACCATCATGTGCGAATCGGGCAACTTATCCCGTGTGGCATTGTGTGGTAACCCACATTTGCATGACCCGCGCTATGGTCACACATGTGCATATGTGGTGCGGTACACGACATGGTAACCGAACACATGCGCATTCAACATACATAACATATTGCATCAGGAACTGTTGATGAAATACACGTCCACACTGCCAAGAGCACCTTTGGAAAACGCTTGTAGGTAAAACGCTTGTAAGTAGCTGCCAGCAAACAGCGTGTGGGGCAGATGCCTCCCATGGTGCGAGGAAGAAAAGTCCCTTATCCGCTTCTTCCTCCTCTCCCCCCCAGCGCCACGCGCGACAAGAGAGCCCCTGGCGGGAGCCCCCGGGATGGCCGGCGGCGCCAGGACAGGCGCGGACGAGGCGTCGGCGTCGGCAGGCTGCAGTCGAGGGTGCCGAACCGTCGTCGTCGTCGTCGTCGTCGTCGTCGTCGTCGTCGTCGTCGTCGTCGTCGTCGTCGTCGTCGTCGTCGTCGTAGTCGTCGTTGTCGTCGTCGTCGTCGTCGGTCAGTATCGTCGTCGTCATCATCGGCCCCTGCTCCCTCCCTCTCCCCTTCTTCCCCTTCCTCTGGTATGGTGCCAGGGAGTACGCTCGAAGACGAAGAGGGCAGGCATTTGAATTTGCATGTTGAGTGACACGCGATCATGTGAGAGCGAACAGTCCGATAGTGTTTTTTCTTGTAGTTGATGGTGGTCATGGTGATCATGATGCTGATCGTGCTGGCGATGCTCATCGTAATGTCGATGATGGTCATGGTGAATGATGATTGTGTCGATGGTGGCCGTGATGAACGGGAGGCAGGTCCATTTCGTTGACGGCCCGCTCCCACGTGCCCGGGTGGCGAGAACAGCGGGGTGCAGAGAACGAGGTGGAGGACGATGAGGAGGTTGAGGATGAGGATGAGGATGAGGCCCAGAGTAAACCGAAGACTCACCAACGATGATGGAATACACATTTCATCCAAGCTCTCTCTTCATAGGCTCCTACACGGATTCATTTGCACTGAGGGAAGTCTCCGTTGGTGGGCAACCGTGTGAAATCCTGAAGCGAGTCACAACACCATTGGCAGGACTTCAACACCACGAGTCAACCTGATTGTTGCGTTTTGACGAGCCTGTATCGTGCCAGAACGCCCTTCCTGGGACTTCAACACCGCGAGTTCACGGAATTGTTGCGCCATGACCATCCATCCTGAACCGTTCCAAAACATTGTTCTTGGTGCGTTACCCATGAGAACGAGTGGGACCTTCGTCTAGCTTCTTAAGCTGGATGTGCCCGGCGCTACGGTGAGAGCCACATTTTGAAAAGGAGCCGCCCTCAATCCGCGAAGCTCTTGCACATTTGAAAATGTGCGAGGTGCTCAGGCCAGAGCCACATTTTGAAAACCACGCGCCCTCAATCCGCGAAGCTCCTGCACATTTTTATGACGACTATGCGCGGCTCTCAGGCGAGAGCCACATTTTGGAAACGACCCGCCCGCTATCTGTGAACCTGTCTCCATTTTTTGGCTTCAGGCCAATAAATTGTAAGGAAGGTACAGGCAATACGCCTGGTCCGCTATTCCGAATGGCCTCGGGATGCGACAGGCAGGAGTTTTTCATAAGGGAAACGAGCGGAGGATGAGGATGAGGATGAGGATGATCATACGATGGCGATGTTGATGTTTTTTTATGATGGTGCTGATGATGAGGATGATGGCGATGAGGATGCTGATGATGATGATGCTGATGAGGATGACGAGGAGGATGATGCTGATGATGCTGATGATTATGATAGAAATGACGATAATGATAAATATGGCGATGACGATGATGATGCTGATGATGATACTGATAATGATGATGGTGATGATGATGGTGGTGGTGGTGGTGATGATGATGATGATGATAATGATGATGACGATGATGATGATGTGCATGGTTCTGATGTTGTTGATGCAGGTGATACTGATAGTTATGGTGTTAATGATGGTATTTGCGATTCTGATAATCATGATGATGATGATGACGATGCTGGTGCTGTTGTGGATGATGATGATAAGGACGGTGATGGTGTTGGTGATAATGGTGGTGGCGATGATGATGATGATGATGATGATGATGATGATGATGATGATGATGCTCCGGTGATGATGATGACGATGATGATGATGATGATGATGATGATGATGATGATGATGGCGACGCTGATGATGATGGCGACGATGCTGCTGATGATGGTGATGATGATGGTGGTGGTAGTGGTGGTTGTGATGATGATGATGATGATGGTAATGATAACGGAGGTGCATATGATGATGCTGATGCTGAGAATAATGTTAATGGTAGTTGGAGTGATAATGACCATGCTGCTGCTGATGGTGCTGATGATGATTTTTATGGGGAGGCGGTGGCTGATGATGACGATGGTGACGACGACGACCACGATGATGATGCTAATGATGATGATGATGATGCTGATGATCATCACGCTGTTGATAATGGTGGCGATAATGAAGATGATGCTGCTGATGGTGCTGAAGATGATGGTTGTGGTGGTGATGGTGATGACGAGGACGATGACGATAATGCTGATGCTGATGATGCTGATGATAATGATGATGCTGATGATGCTGATGATGACGACGATGATGATCAAGGTCACGATGACGAGGATGTTGGTGATGCTGATGATGATTATGGTGTGCATGGTCATGATGTTGTTGATGCAGGTGATACTGATGGTGATGGTGTTGGTGACGGTATTGGCGATGATGATGATGACGATTACGGTGCTGTTGTTGCTGATGGTAATGATGATCATGATGGTTTTGGTGATGATGGTGGTGATGATGATAATGATTTTCAGATGGTGATGACGATGATGATGACGATGCTGCTGATGATGGTGATGATTAGGATGATGGTGTTTGTGGTGGTGGTGGTAGTGGTGGTTGTGATGATGATGTTGATGACGGGGATGAATATGATGATGGTGATATCATGATTATGATGCTGACGATAATGATGGTACTTTCAATAACAATGACGATGCTGCTGCTGATGATGATGCTTATGAGGAGGCGGCGGCTGATGATGATGATGATGATGATGATGATAATAGTGACGACGACGACCACGATGATGATGATGCTGATGATGCTGATGATGACGATGTTCTTGATGGTGATGATGACGATGATGATGCTGATGATGCTGATGATGACGATTATGATGATGCTGATGATGCTGATGATGATGCTGCTGATTCTGATGCTGCTGATGATGATTTTGCTGATGATGATGACGGTGGTGGTGTTGGTGATGAAAATGACGATGACGATGACGATGACGATGATGATGATGATGATGATGATGATGATGGTGATGATGCTGTTGATGACGGTGATGATTATGCTGATGATGATTATGATGATGATGGTGATGATGGTGATGATAATGGTGATGGTGATGGTGGTGGTGATGATGATGATAATGATGCTGCTGCTTATGAAGATGATGTTGATGATGATGACGACAGTTTTGATGATGATGATGATGATGATGGTTGTGATGATGATGATAATGATGATGATGCTGATGATGATGGTGATGATGATGATGCTGATGATGATGATGATGATGATGATGATGCTGATGATGCTGATGATGATGATGATGATGATGATGATGATGATGGTGGTGGTGGTGGTGGTGGTGGTGGTGGTTGTGATGGAAGTGGTGGTGGCGGTGGTTGTGATGGTGGTGGTGGTAGTGATGACCCGAGGCGTTGCGCCGCAGCGGCTCGGAGCGTGCGCCAGGTCTTCGTCGACCAGCGGCGGCTCCAGCTGCAGCAGGCCAGCCTGCGGCCTCGGCCGAGTGGCGCGCGGATGGCCTCGGCTCGGCCCGGCGGCAGGTCGGCAGGGAGGCAGGCCAGCACTCGACCCTCCTTGGCACCCATGGGCTCCGCGACCCGCAGGTGTCTCATCTTCCTCTTCCTCCTCCTCCTCCTAGGTAGTGCGACGCTTGGCTGACTTGGACGCCAGCGCGCGCCGGGGAGGGCAGGAAGCAGGATAGATGGGGAGCTGACCTGGCAGGGCTTGGGGTGTTTCCCTTTCCCTGTCCAATAGGCTTCAAAGGCTTGAAAGGCCGGCCGGCCGGCAGGCCCGCAGGGCAGCAGGCCATGTCGGGCAGGCGGCAGCAGGCCGGAGGTCTCGGCCGAGTGCTGCGCACGGGGTCTCGCCCTGGCTCGGCAGGCCAGCAGCGCGTGTGGGCATCGGGGCGCCCTCTAGGAAAAAAACGCGACGGGCCTCTTAGCTCAGTTCGATTCGGGGCCCAGGACCCTCACTGATCGCCCCATCTCGTGAAGCTCCGTACAGGGATGGGGTCGAGAGGTCTGGTCGTGTTTTTGCTTCGTCGCTGTGCATGTGCACGACGCCGAGTGTCTGGGGGAGCTGGTCGGCAGGCGGCAGGTCCGCTTCCGCGCCGTCGTTGATTTTGCGCCAGAGCGAGCGTGCAGGGAAAGACTCGCAGCAGCGCGCACCAATGTACGGTTAGCTGGGGTGCTTCCGATCGTGTCTGGCTCGTCCCAATTTGACCAGCAAAGTCTCTTCACCCTTCACTTCATGCTTCTGCATCCCCCCGCCGAGGCCATCGAGGACACACCTTGGTTCGCCTTCTCACCTTGGTTACCTCGGAAACCTCTTAGGCAACCCTCGTCACCTGGCGGCTTTCAACTTTCTTCCAGCCTGCGACGCTGATTCAATACCCAGTCATACCGCTATAGGGCGCACATTCATGAATGATGTGGGTGAGGAGGAGGAAACGGAGGCGAGCGTCGCTGCTGATGACGCTGACGCTGACGCTGACGCTCATGCTCTCTCTGACGACGACGGTGACGATGACGATAAAGATGACGATGATGCTGCCGATGATGATGGTGATGATGATGACGATGACGATGGCGACGACGATGCGAAGACGACGATGATGATGACGATGATAATGATGAGGATGATGATTATGATGATGAGGATGATAATCTTGATGATGATGAGGATGGTGATGATTATGATGACGGTGATGATGACGACAAATATGATGATGTTGATTCTGATTGTGATGATTGTGATGATTCTGCTGATGCTGATGACGATCCTGACGATGATGACGATGCTGCTGCTGCTTACGATGATGATGATGATGATGATGATGATGATGATGATGATGATGACGATGATGATGATGATGATGACGATGATGATGATGATGATGATGATGATGATGATGATGATGATGCCGATGCTGATTATGATGATGGTGAGACAGATGCTGCTGTTTCTTATGTGGATGCTGAGGATGCTGATGCTGATGGTGATGATGATGATCATGCTGATGTTTAGGACGATGATGATGATGATGGTGATGCTGATGCTGATGATGCTGATGCTGATGCTGATGCTGATGATGATGATGATGATGATGATGATGATGATGATGATGATGATGATGATGATGATGATGATGATGATGATGATGATGATGATGATGCTGCTGATGATGATGATGATGATGATGATGATGATGATGATGATGATGATGGTGATGATGATGCGGATGAGGAGGAGGAAAAGGATATTATGCTGATGATGAGGATGATCCGGATTTTGGTGAAGATGACGACGGTTACGACCATGACGTTGTTGTTGATGATGATGGCGATGCTGCTGATGATGAGTATGGCGATGACGACTACGACGACGATGGTTATGACCATGTTTCTGCTGCTGCTGGCTACTATGTGGATGGGGCCGGAGTAGGAAAGGAGGACGAGGAGGATCAATCAAAACACCTCCAATAGCTTGCCAATGCCTCCGGCACCCTCTAAACCTGTAAACATCTGTGAAGATTCCCCAAACAGCCAGCCACAATTTGCCAAGTCATCCCCTCCTCTCTCCTCAGGAGCGGCGACGCCCGTATATGTCCGGGGAGACGTTCTGACCAGGATCTCGAGGTGGATGCAGTCGGAGCGACGAGCCCCCTCCGCGTCCCTGCCCCATGAGGACACGAAATGTGAAAAATGACAGATCCTCTCCCTCTTCTTCCTCCTCCTCCTCCTCCTCCTCCTTCTCCATTTCTTTGTTGTCGCGTTGTGCAAACGTTGGCTTGCGTGAGCCGTCGCGTCCTAACGCGCACAAGGCAAAACACGAAGATGAGATCCAAGTGCGATACAATCAAAGCGTGCGGCAGAAGTGCAGCTTCGAAAAATGATGGTCAAGAGAGTGGACACGGATGGAGCCCACCGTGGGTTGCGCGAGTATGCTTGAGCAAGTTCTTTCACCACCAAATCACCATAACCGACCCATGATCCAGGCCCCCAATCCTTGAATCAAGGCTCTCACCTAGGGGCAGTACATCCTATACATGATGCTCCTGGTAGAGTGCATGTAGTGATAAAGTGGGGCTCGGTACTAGATGGCGCAGTTTGAACATTCCCTCGAAGAGGGTTCTGTGGTTTTACATCCTTCCCTGCCTCTATTCTAGTATCCTCCAACTCCTCTAATGCCATCACCGAGGGCACTTTCGGCCTGCTTTTCCGTTGGCGCAGAGAACAGATGACAGACATGCCTATGTAACGATGAAGGCAAAGTGCAGACCGTGACCGACGAGTGGACATAGACGCCTGAGTAAGCGAAGTTCAGATCGTGACCGAAGCGTGGCAATCCATGTAAGAAGTGCGACTGCGCTGACATTCTGCACCTTAATCTGGGCATGGACGGCCGTTCTCTCGTGACGGGTAGAGCACAAGGACGGCGCACCAAATGCGTGCCGTGACAGCCTTTATGTTCAGGGGAGGCTTCATTGGAACATGTGTGAGAGACGCATGAGATCGAGCAAACCGAGCCCTCAATGAAGGTCTGGTAAGGATTATAATAATTGGCGGCCCAGCAAGCACGACGGCCTCCGCCACAACCGTGGCAGATACCATCAATGCCCTCCTCCAACCCCACCTCCTCCATGTACCCCCGATCCCTGCCATGGCAAGGGCCCTCACCGAGGGCAGTTTTTGCCCTTGGTAAGCAATCAAACTACTGGCACTTATCAGACTGACTGACTGATGTAAACGAGAACTGATCAGCCTGGCTGGCTTCGTCGAGGGCCATGGCGGTCAACACGCTCGCAACGGTCGACACGCTCGGTATGTTAGTGTCCACCTGGGGACGGCCAGCACAAGAGATGCAGCTTGAATGTGGGCCCTGGCAGTCAGCTGAAGATGCAAAAGTCTGCCTTCGCTGCGCCACAATCCGATCCCGCCCGAGATGCTAGTGTCCACCTGGAGACGGCCAGCGCTAGAGATGCAACTTGAAAGTAGGACCTGGCAGTCAGCAGCAAAGGCTGCCCTTCGCCAGGGGTCTTGCTGGTCTAATTTTTCCACCTCCTACCCTCCTCCCTACTGGCATCCCCCCCCGCTTCCACAACGATCAAGCAATCAGTGGTACTATGCAGAGGAAAGGTGTCTTGACAATTTCGTGCCGTCCTGCTATCTGTGCGCGGAGGGAAACGCACATGCAAAGGACAGGCTTCGTGGCATTTTCGTGCCCACCCGTATACGCAGAGGAAAGGTTTCGTGATATTTTCGTGCCCTCCGCTGTCCGTGCGCGGAGAGCCCACCGACCCGCAAACTCGACCGGGCAACACAGAGGAAGAGGAGTTGGTGCGCCAGCGCCATCTTGAGGTCTCATGGCGGCGGAGTGGGAAATTCCCACCTGTTTTGCACACGGGCATCCTCTTGCGCCGGCTGTTTGTGACCCAGAGCAACCGGGAAACGTTCCGCCCACGGCCGGCTCTCATGCAGATCATATTCCTCTCTTCATCTCCTCCCTCTCATCCTCATCCCTGTACCCGTCCCACGTGAGAGGGGGAACATCATGATAAGAGGAGATGGAAGCTTCAAGAATCAGAGTACAGAGTTTCAAGATGAGCACGAAGTACTGGTGGTATCCCTACGCTCCGTAGGTTGTTATGTATGACCTATCCCTATTCTTCGACGCAGCGCTTCCTGCACTGAGCGCACGTGTTACACTTCGTACTGACATCCAGGCCTTTGCCTTGCCAGATCAGCTCTCTCAGTGTTGTCGTCAGGCCAGACGAATTGCAAATGGCAATTCACGGATGTTCTCTTCTCGGTCTGTGCGCGTTTCCGAGGACGATGGAGGATTGCCCATGAGAGTTGACGGAAAAAGGGACGAAGAGACCCATGTAGTGAAACAAAGGGGGCAACCAGGGTGAACAGAGCGATTTTTGGGCCCGCGTGGGGGCGAGGGGATGATGACGATGATGATGATGATGATGATGATGATGATGATGATGATGATGATGATGATGATGTTGATGTTGATGATGATTTTGATGATCATGGTGGTGGTGGTGATGATGATGGTGGTGGTGGTGATGGTGATGGTGATGGTGGTGATGATGATGATGATGGTGATGACGATGATTCTGCTGATGGTGATGAAGCTGATGATGAGGATGGTGATGACGATGATGATGATAATGATGATGATGCTGATGACGATGATGCTGATGGTGATGATGATGCTGCTGCTGCTGATGATGGTACTGATAATGGTGATGATGATGATGATGATGATGCTGATGATGATGATGATGATGATGATGATGATGATGATGATGATGATGATGATGATGATGATGATGATGATGATGATGATGATGATGATGATGATGATGATGATGATGGTGATGATGATGATGATGATGATGATGATGCTGATGATGATGATGCAGATGTTGTTGATGATGATGACGATGATGACGATGATGACGATGATGACGATGATGCTGATGATGATGCTGATGCTGCTGATGATGATAATGATGATGATGGTGGTGGTGGTGGTGATGATGATGATGATGATGAGGAGGAGGAGGAGGAGGAGGAGGAGGAGGACAGCGAGGATGAGAACAGAGCCCTCAAGGTCGTCTCTTGGAGCTCTCTGCTGGCTCTTTTGGGGGATCTTGGGGTCCCCTTGGGGCTCTTTTTGGGGGTCTCAGGGCCCTCTTGGGGCCCTCTCCCTTGGGAGTCTTGGAGGGCCTCTTGAGGCCATCTTGGATGCCATCGATCAAGGGGGGGGGGGTATTAGAGATTTGTCCCCACCCACCCCATCCCACCGCTGGAGCCATCAGCATCGCCTCTTTGGGCGCTCTTGAGTCTCTTGGGGCACTCTTGGGCGCTCGTGGGGGCCGTCTCTGGGTCTTTCTTGGGCCATCTTGGGTCCATCCTGAGGCCTCAGCAGTGCATCGGAAACGAACAGGCGAGAAGGCAACGCGTATTGATCTTCCTCCAGTTTTCAAGGATGTTAGCCTCTTTTGGGGGTCTTTGGAGGCTCCGAGAGCACAAGGAACCGTCTTGTGGCCCTCGTTGGGCCTCTTGGAGGTATGAACCATCGTCGGCTATCTTGAGCCATTTTGGAAGCCATCTTGGAGCATCGGAGGCTCTCTTGGAGCCATTTTGGCGTCGAGGTCCTCTTGGAGCCATCGTGGGCAGAGAAGGACCTTCTAGCACGTCGCGGCCCGCTCCAAACAAGCAGGGAGGGGGAGGTAAACCTCCAGGGAGAGAAGCGTTTTTTGTTAAAAATAAAAGCCATGCTGTTTTCGGCTGTTTCTCAAGAGGATGTAGGAGATGTGAGAGGTAAGTTCAGGGAAACATGCCAGAGGTAAGAGTCATGTACGGGGAAAGGTGCGTACCTGCCGCGAGCGCTGCCCTGGCGGAAGGGCGTCGCGCTTCTCACAGCCTCTCTTAATGGTTCGAGAGGTCATGACCTTCCTCCTCCTCCTCCTCCATCCATCGCTTGAGACTTCCGTAGCATGTAAAACCACAAGTGATAGTTTGTGCAGCAGTTACACGGCCGGATGGTGGCTCTTTTTCAGATGTTGTTTTTAGATATTTGGTTCGATTAGGTCCAGAGGCTCTGAATTGTCCACAGCTACACGGATGAAGGTATTCTCCTTTTCAACGCGGGCTTGCCTTTGAGCATTTCTTCGCACCTTTTGGCCCGACGCAAGCAGAAGCAGGCTGCCAAGCAAAGCCTGCGTCAAATTTTTCACCTTCGCCGCCAGCGCTGCTCGTCGTGGCAGGGCTGGTTTATATTTTCGCCGTCCCCGCTCGTGGGGCGTGACGCGTCGGGGCGTCCGATCGGACCTTTGCACAAGCCGGGCCTGTCCATCTGCAGGAGGACGAACAGTCAGCAACAGTCAGAACGTAGTCTGGGGGACGATCTGCCAACTTTCCTAAACCATGTTTTGATTCCTTTCCGTACTCAGCCCAATATCCTCAACCTTGGATGAGGAGGATGAGGAGGAGGAGGAGGAGGAGGAGGAGGAGGAGGAGGAGGAGGACATGCCCGACCCAAGCCTTTGCCTGCTCGCTCGTGGCCCCACGCCGTCGCACTCCCCGCCGCCCGAGGAGCGGAGGGCAGCTCCTCGCGGGCCCGCGGGGCGCCCGCCCCCCAAGGGGGGGGGGGGGGGGGGGCGCTCCCCGCATCGCGAGGGTGCCCGCCGGGGCTGCCGGGGAGGGGGCTCGGGACGGGGAGGGTGTAGGCCAGCATCGCTGATACACCGCTTGCCCTGGCCTCCTCCTCCTCCTCCTCCACGCTTCTCCTCCTCCTCCTCTCCTCCCTCTCCTCCCTCCTCCTCCCTCCATCCTCCACGCTCTCCTCCTTCTCCTCCTCCTTCTCCTCCTCCTCCTCCACGCTCCTCCTCCTCCACGCTCCTCCTCCTCCTGTTCCTCCTCCTCCCCGCTCCTCCTCCTCCTCCTCCTTCTCCTCCTTCTCTCTCCTCCCCCTCCATCCCCCGGAAGTCCCTTGAGGCCTCCGGAGGCCCCGAAAGGGATGCAGAACGCCTCAGAAACCTCGATCCTCCCCTTCCTGATTCTCCTCCTCCTCTTAGTCCAGGTGTGAATTTCGAGCCGTGGGTCGACGGGGTCAAGGGGGAGCTGGGTGGATTATTTCGCTGAGTGGGAGGAGGTGGAGGGCACGTGGTATCCCGGTGGATGTAAGAGCCACGGCAATGACGTCAGAAATCGCGGTAGTTTGTGATCTCTGCGAAGCCCTGGCCAGAGTGGTTTTGAGTTTGAACACAAAGGTCGTAGTACATTATTTGGTCGATAGAGTTACCTTCGGCCTAGTGAGTGCCACCTCAGCGCCGCGTAAGCGCGTTCGACTCGAACGTTTAGGGTAACACGAGCGGTTGATTTTTCGTCTCGTCAGAACCACCCAGGCGCCCACCCGGAACCGCCAGTATCTTCGCCCTTCTTCCTCTCTCTTCCCCCTCCTCCCCCTCCTCCCAAGCCCGTGACGACGACGACGACGACGACGACGACGACGACGACGACGACGACGACGACGACGACGACGACGACGACGACGACGACGACGACGACGACGACGACGACGACGACGACGACGACGACGACGACGACGACGACGACGACGACGACGACGACGACGACGACGACGACGACGACGACGACGACGACGACGACGACGACGACGACGACGACGACGACCCCCTGCGGCAGTCTCCCGCGCGGCCTGCCGGAGCGGCCCGCCGACTTCGAGTACGGGTGCGACCTGGGCCGCCTTCCCGCGTCCGTGGCGCGCCAATGGGTGGCGCTGGGCCAGGGCCTTGGCCAGCGGTCGCCCGGGCCAGCCGGGCGAGCGGCGGCCGGACGGTCGCGACAGCGAGGATCGGTGGCTTGACGACGGGGTCTGGAGGGGCCAGGCCCGTGAGGATAGCATTTACACTTGCATTGCTCAAGGTAAGCTCTCAAGCAATGGCGAAGCGTCCTGGCTCGCCTATAGGCCCACCAAAGAATATTATGAGAAAGAGCGTGTTCTACCGCTGCTGGCGGAAAACCGGGGGGGGTCACTACCGGTTCGAACCCCTCCCCCCCCCCCCCCCCCCCCTCCGGAAACCGGGGGGGGTCACTACCGGTTCGAACCCCCCCCCCCCTCGAAAACCGAGTGGGGGTGCGGACAGTGGTGGGGACGGTGTTGGTGGGGACAGTGGTGAGGGGATAGCGGGACAGTGGTGGGGACAGTGGGACAGTGGGACAGTGGTGGGGACGGTAGTGGTGGGGACAGTGGTGGGGACAATGGTGGGAACAGGGGGGGACAGTGGACAGTGGTGGTGACGGTGGTGGTGGGGACAGTGGTGTGGGGACAATGGGAATGAGGTGGAAACAGTGGGACAGTGGAGGGTACAATGGTGGTGGGGACAGTGGTGAAGGCGGTGGCGAGGACGGCGGTGGGACAATGGGACAGAGGTACAGTGGGGACAGTGGTGGGGACAGTGGGGACAGTGGTGGGAACAGTGGGACAGCTCAGTGGGACAGCGGAGGAGTCAGTGGGACAGTGGGGACAGTGGGGATAGTCGGGCAGTGGTTGGGGCCGTGGAGACAGTGGGGAGAGTGGAACCGTGGTGGGAACAGTTCTGGGGACAGCGGGGACAGTGCGACAGTGGTGGGGCCACTGGTGGGGACAGTAGGGGCGGTGGTGGAACCAGTGGGGACAGCGGTGGTGAGGACAGTGGTGCTGGGAACACCAGTGGGGGATGTGATGCGGACGGTGGTGGGGACCGGGAGTCGTTTGCTGGCGGTGAGTAGGGGGGGGGGGGGGGGGGGGGGGGGGGGGGGTGGGTTTCGAACCGGTAGTGCCCCCCCGGTTTTCCGGATCTAAGAGGGGGGGGGGGGGGGGGGGGGGGGGGGAGGGTTTGAAACGGTAGTGGACCCCCCCCGTTTCGAGCGGGGGGGGGGGGGGGGGGGGGGAGGGGTTAGGGGAGGGGGGGGGTTTTGCCGGGGGAGGGGGGGGGGGGGGGGGGGGAGGGGTTCCAGCAGGGGGGGGGGGGATTTTCGGGGGGGGGGGGGGGCGACCCCCGGGCTCCAGAGGAAAAGGTTGGCAATTTTCCACAGTAAAGCGGCGGTGGATCACGCTCTCTCTATTATGATAATCTGTTGTGGTCTGCACGAAATTTTCTGAGAACCTCTCTGGCTGGGACTCTCTTGTTTTGACACGTCGGGTTTATGTTCTGAGAACCTTGTTGTTGTCCCTAGAACATGTTGGGGTTCTAAGAACATGTCGTGGTAGGCCTTCAGGAATGCCGGGACGATCGGTCCACGCTCAATACTCGCCCTGGCCCGCGCCATCGGGGCCCATCCTTGAAGGGCCGAGAGGAGGGCGGCGGCGGCGGCCGGCGATGGCTTCGGCGGCGGCGGCGGGTGCCGTTGGGCGTTGCTGGGGCCCAGCCCTGTGCGGCGGCGGGCCTACGTGTGCCTCTGCGGTGCGGCGGCGGGCCCCGGCTGGCCAGCGGCGGCGAGGTGTGAGGATCGAGGTTCTGGGATCGAGGGTCCGAGGGTTTTGGTTCGGCGGCGAGCGAGGGGGGAAGTGAGACAATCACCGCCCACCAAACCACCCCAACCCAACCCGAAGGCCCCGATTTGACATCCATTTCCAGTGGGGGGGGGGTCGGGGAACACTTAAAACACACACACGCACACGCACACGCACACGCACACGCACATGCACACGCACACGCACACGCACACGCACACGCACACGCACACACACACGCACACGCACACGCACACGCACACGCACACGCACACGCACACGCACACACATATATATATATATATATATAACCGCATGCCGATGATAATAAAGGGACCCCCCCCCTTCAGTGTTTAGAATTGATTATCGTCGCCCTATTCAAAATTCAAATTGGGCGGCGAGCGCTGAGGCCGAACTTCATTATCACCTCGAAACGCTATGTTCAGATAGCAACATCAAGCGATGTTGATATAGCAACATCAAGCGAAGCGATCACACTTTTTCAGGATGTGTCAAGCGAAACCAATAATTTTGGGAGGCAGACTCTAACGAAACGAGCAATGTTTCAAGGATGTCTCAAGCGAAACCAGCAATTCTGTGAGGATGTCTCAAGCGATTCGAGAAGCTTGTCGAGGATGTCTCAAGCGAAACAAGCATAAACTCGAGGATGTCTCAAGCGAAACATATCTACCCCCGCATAAACAACAATATATATGTATCTATCCCCGCGCGCGCCTGAACTTTTTTTATCTCTGGGGTTGATTATCCATGGAAAGGGGAGCACATGAGCTACCCTACATGAGCACTTAACAACATCAATTTTCATAAAACGTTTGTAAATTAAAATTGATAGATTTGGAACTTTGTTTTTTTCCTTTCTTCGTCCTCTTCTTATTATCCTCTTCTTCTTCTTTCTTATTATTATTCTACTGTATTCTTCTTTTATATTTCTCTCTGTCCCCACGCTCGCCTGAACTTTTTTATCTCTGGGGTTGATTATCCATGGAAATTGAGGCACATGAGCTACCCTACACGAGCACTTACGAGGATGTCTCCAGCGAGATAAGCCATTGTTGTGGGTATTTCTATGAAAGCTAAACGCCAAGGATGTCTCAAAACGTGCTCGGCTTGGTCTCCTCTTGATCATCTCTTACTTCGAGATTATGCTGAGGTCTGCTGGGCTACTTTTATTATCTCTCCCTGAACCCCGAACTTTATTATCCCCTAGTGTTTATTCTCACGGGCATGAGGTTAT